GAGTATGGTGATCGACCATAGGAAGAGTTTCTAGTGATGATCGGTGAGCTAACAGAGTTCCTTGCGCTCGAGGGCCTGCAAATAAAATAGTTGAAGAGCATTTATTTCATGTTGACCACAAAGGTCAAGACCGCGATATAAGGTGTATTAGTACCTCGCACTGCTCTTTCTAGCATTATTAAGAGCTGTTTCATGAGCTGCTTCTTGCATTTTGATGAGCTTGGCGTACATACCATTCTCTCCTTTACTCATGAGCTCATCATGCGATCCAATTTCAGAAACACTGCCTTGCTGTAGTACAGCGACTAGGTCAGCCTTTCGGATGGTAGACAGGCGATGAGCTATTACAAGAGTCGTTCGTCCAATCATGAACCTGTCTAGAGCCTCCTGCACTAGTTTTTCTGATTCAGAATCTAAAGCACTAGTTGCCTCGTCTAAAAGAAGGATTGCTGGATTCTTAAGCATGGCCCTCGCTATCGCAATCCTCTGCTTCTGTCCACCTGATAATTGTACTCCTCTCTCCCCTACCTGCAATATCCAAATATACATGACTTTCTGTTGGTCTAACTTGAAACGCCAAAATATTCAATACCATATGCATTGCAGAACTCAGTGTCATTTTTCTCTCAGATTAACAAATAAAAGTTTGATCTTGATTATTAACATCTTATAAAAGACCAAGCTCAAATTCTATTATGAAATTTATTCATAAAATAGAACTGTTGTAACAGTCCGGTAATTATCTCCAGCTTTGACCAACTTGTCCCTTCGCTAACCGGCGGATATAAAATTCATGTATAATATATGTATAACTGTGTTAATCAATGTATAATTTATGTATACTAGCTAGAAAAAGTAAACACTGAATCTGGCCGGCTATTTGTGTAACAATCCCTTCAATTATTCTTTTGTCAGTCCAAAGAAGTGCCCTTATATCCTGTGTACACAATAAATTCCAAGAAAAATATTTATTTGTTTTGGATATCAGTTTTATTATAATCCTACCGATAACCCTACATGTCTTTTCTGAACTTTTTTTTTGTCATCTCTCCAACTACTAAGGTTACAACAAGTCATTTGTTCTCACATGAATATATAAAATAAAAATGTTGCTGCACATGCATTGTTGACTGAAACCCATGTTACCTATTTCTTAAATGAATGACCAGTCCCCCTACAAACATTGACTTCATTAAAAAATGTAAGGTTTGTTTGTTGACCAAACAAAAACAATTTAGACACAAAAACCAATACAAGTTAGACTAATGAAAGCATCTCTGTGAAATGATTTACAATCAAATGTACCTTGTAAGACATAAACTTTGACCATTCAACACAACCACTGAATCTAGCTTTGCCTAAGGCTAAAGTCATCCTTTTTTGCCCATTGACTAAGGGAACCCTTTGTAATAAATGAGAATAAACAGCAGCCCGGTGCACTAAACTCCCGCTATGCGCGGAGTCCGGGAAAGGGTCGGACCACAATGGTCTATTGTACGCAGCCTTACCTTGCATTTTTGCAAGAGGCTGTTTGCACGGCTTGAACCCGTGAGAATACATGCAAAAAAAAAACATCAACCTTATTTTAGAGCTCACTCTGAGGCAATCTCTACCATTAACCTTATATCCAATCCATCTTCCACAAACTGGTGGGACCCAGCATGAGTTATATTAAATGCCACACATTAAATAGCATATGGAATGTAGAAGAAAATTTACAACATTTAATGATATATCTGCTAGATCTTTAATGTAGCATAATTAGTTGAGTCTAAAGTAGCTAAATTTCTGTTTGGTATTTTAACACATTTGGCCGATTGCCCTGAAAATAATTACAACCGCTAGCCAAATCACTGATTATGTATAAAATATGCATATTATATTATACATCTTCCGGCTATTATTTTGGAGGGTGGCTATAAAGTGTAGATTTCCCAAAAAACTAAATATTTGGAATTTTTTTTTTATTAACTAACCTGAGTATCAAAACCATCAGGAAGTTTGATTATGAAAGAATGTGCATTGGCAACTCTAGCAGCTTCTTCAATCTCAATTTGAGTTGCATCCGGCCGTCCTAATAATATGTTTTCTTTGATACTGGTGGCGAAGAGCGCTGGTTCTTGGCTCACAAGCCCAATTTGCTGCCTCAGCCATTTCAGTTTCAGTGTCTTTATGTCATTCCCATCAAGCAGAAGTTGTCCTGCATACAAACTAATTATTAGCTGAGATTTTCATTCCGAAACATGTCTCCACATAAACACATGGAATTCACTTCAACTACCAAACATTTCATTAAGATGCCCATCACAGGATGTATGAATTTATAAATGGAATTTTCATTTTGGTCCTTAGGCCGAAATTAATTACGGGCGCTCGCCAAAATATACGAAACGTATACAATGATTTTGTATATATATGTATATGAGATATATATTTATACTTAATACACAAAACATATACATTTGCCGGCTATTATTTTTAGGGCAGCCCAAAAAATGTAATTATCCCATTTATAAAAGCACATTGCAGATATTGAATTCAATAATGAGGTCATTGTGCAAAGTTGGGCTAACCTGAGGTGGGATCATAAAATCTTTCAATAAGGGAGACCACAGTGCTTTTCCCAGAACCACTGCTTCCAACTAAAGCAATGGTCTTTCCAGCCGGAACAATGAGGTTGAAATTGTCGAGAATCTTGATATCTGGCCTTGAAGGGTAGGAGAATTTAACATCTTTAAGCTCTAGTTGCCCACTAACAGAGTCCAACTCCAAACCCGTCTTGGCGTTTCTGTCGACGCTTGGTTTATGATCGATAATACGGAAAATCTTGGCTGCTGCAACTCTGGCCTTTGCAAATGCAGTCATGCTAGGAGCAGATTGTCCCAAAGCCCTATCGATAAAGGAGAAATCTTTAAACAATTAAACTTCTTTAAAAAAGTTAACGAACTCGACACATTTTTGTACAGTGCTAAGTACTTACAGTCCACCTATCATAACAGCAAACATTGTTGCTATGGCAAGTCCACCATTGGTATAATGATGCCTAACCAAATAACCTCCATACCATAGAAGAAGAGCATAGCAGCAGAAAACGGTGAAGTATGTCGCGCCAAGTCCTAATCCTTTTGAGAATCCACTCTTATAACCAATCTTTTGAGAAACTTTAAGTGCTGCTGAGTATGCTTGCATTGCTTTTGACTCACCAACAAATGCCAGTACTGTCCTAATTTGAACTACTGTCTGCAATTTGGCTACACTTCAGTAAACCAATAGAAAAAAGCAGAGGATATTTTATCTTAACTGAGCTTAAAACAAAAAGGGCAGCCAGCGCACTAAGCTCCCGCTATGCGCGAGGTCCGGGAAGAGCCGGACCACAAGGGTCTATTGTGCATTTCTGCAAGAGGCTGTTTCCACGACTCGAACCCGTGACCTCCCCTTCTTAGCTGAGCTTAATTTCACATAATTTGTACTACCATTTATCTTTTTACCTGTTCAACAATGTTCCCTGCCTTTGAAAGTGCTTCTTGACTTTTCCCAGAGAGCTTAGCTAATGTAATAGTGTGAATAGCACCAATTACAGCAATAAGTGGAACTACAGCAAGAGTAACAAGAGCTAGTTGCCACACTGCTGTAAATCCCACCACAAATCCAGATACAAATGTAGCCATATAGTGAATGAAATTACCCAACTGCACCCAAAAAAAAAAAATTAAGATCCTTAACTCCACACCCATTATCCTAAAAATGAAAAAGAATCAATTTTTATAGTATGTTCACCTTCTCACTAATGGCATCTTGGACCATAACAGCATCAGTGTTAATTGCAAAGACAACATCAGAAGTTCTAACTTCAGTATCAAAGTATTGAATATCTTGGTTTAAAGCAGCTTCCAAATATTTAATCCTCATCTTTGTTGTTTGTCTCTCTCCAGTCCACATCCAACATGATATCTCTGCAAAACCATTAAAATCAAGAATTCTAAAAACCAATTCTTGAACCAAAAAAGATTCAATTTTTACCATAAAGATTCAATTTTTACCATAAAAATTCAATCTTTATAACAAAGATTCAATTTTTATGAAGTTTTTTACCTGCCCAAGAAGATGCCCATATAGCAGCACCCACAACTAAAAAGTAAAATGCATACTGCAAAGAGAACAAAACCAAAAAAATATCAAGAAGAAAGGAAAAAAAGAAGGGAAGTAGCTATGTTTAATTGTTTTTTATTAGTGAAATTTGAGGTTGGTTTACCTTTAAAACTTCTTGAGTCATCTTATCAACATCATTAGCATAAGAGCCAAAAGAATTAACAAGATCAGCAAAGAATCTAAGGAACAAAGGTAAAGAACAACCATGTACAAAAGCACCAAGTGAACCAATTGACATTAGTACATAGTCTAAACTATCAGCAAATCTGAATAACTCTCCAAAACCAACTGCTTGTGGTTGAGTATTTGGCTTTTCATTCCCTTCTTTTTTCCCTTCAGAAACCTCCATTTCTTGTTTTTCTCTTTCTTGTTTTTGTTGTTGTTGTTGTTGTATTTGTGTGGTTTCTTGAATTTGATGGTTGGGTTTAATAGAGTTGTTGTTATTATAGTGTTCAGAGACAACAAGTTCAAGACCTTGCATTTCAGACCATTTCCAATGTTCTGCAATGGTCTTTATCTCCTCAGAATCTTGTGACATTGCTTTGCAATTAACTTACAAAACACACATACACACACTTGTAGTTGTTTTTTCCACACTTCCCTTTTATCTCTCTTATTATATTACACTCTTTCTCTCTCTCTCCAACTTTTTAATTGTTTTTTCTGTTTCTCACCTAGTGTTCGGTACTCACATTGGGACCCGACAAAATCAAAGGGGTAAATCGCTCCGTAACAAAGACGACTCCATACCGGAACTCGAACCTGAGATCTCTGATTAAGGATAAAGAAGTACTTACACCTCCGCCTCAACCCTTGTTGTTAATTATTTTTCTTGTTTGTTACTCCATTCTTTACTATTCCTAGTCATATTTTCTTCCTCACCATTGACTTTATTGCGAAAAAATCTCTCTCTTTCTTTTTTTATATTTACTGTATGTACTTTTTTTAACTGTGGATTGGGGTTAGTAGTAAAAATTTGTCCTATATTTAGGTGTTTAAATAATTCAATGAATTTATGTTGTACATTGTCTTCTCATAGACTGATACCATTAAATCCTAATTACTTAATATATATTTTTAACTTAATTTATTACTCTCTTCATTCCACTATATGTGATATATTTAGTGGTCGTTTGGACATAAGACTTGTTAAATTCCAAAAAAGGGTGGGAAAAATTTTTTGAAGCGAAAATGGTATTTGAAATTTAGCTAGCGTTTGATCATAGATCCCAAATTTGTTTTGAAAAATCTGATTTAGGTGAAGTTTGGTTTGAAGATGAAAATGTATTTGGACATATGTTTTCAAAACATATTTCCCAACTTTATTTTGGAAAAACTTGTATATAATTTCCAAGTTTTGGGATTTTGCCCAAAATCAGCAATTTGGGTGATTTTGGGATTTGGGGTTTGGGATTTTGCCAAAATGTGGGCGAAATTTTTGGCCAAACATGAGTTTTGAAAATAAATCCCAAATTTATTTTGGCAAAACTCATGGCCAAAGGGGGCCTTAGAGTTGTGTTTAGACATGAATATAATTTTGGGTTGTTTTCGAAGTTTTGTGAGTGATTTTAGTGAAAATTTTAAAAAATAGATTTTTGGACTTTTTTAAATTTTCGAAAATTTTCAAAATGCATCTTTAAGTGAAAATTGAAAATTTTACGAACAAACGTTGATTTCGGAAAAAGTTAAATTTTTTTGGAAAAAAGCGAAAAATTTCTTATGTCCCACCGGGCTCTTATTACTATTTGGAGTGTCGAAGAAAGTTACTTTAACCATTTTTTGCAAATAGGAGTATATTTTAGATAATTTAACTTGTTAACTACTATGTATTTTAGCAATTTTGATGTAGTTTTTAAATATGTAAATTGAAGTTTAAAAGTATTAAAAGTTTTATGTCCAAATTCATATAATTAGTCGGCTTAACTCTTTTACCTCGGATTAAATCACATAAAATAAAGTAGATAAAATACTAAACATTTTTACCGATAATTTCTTAATTTTTTCTTCTTCAGTTACTCCTGGTAAATAGTAAAGAAAAGTGTATCCCACAAGGAAAAGAACAGAGAATTGACAGATGATTAGAGCAGCCTATAAACCTAGAGAGAGAGTGTGTGTCTGTGTGAGAGAGAAAAGCATGAACTTTAGCACCCGACAAGGAATACTGTGTGTAAACTGGAGATTGGTTTTTTTGACCAGAACAACATATTCTGAAACTGGCGGTGGTAAAAAATAAATTAAAAAATATTTAAATGGAAATTTATAAATTTCTCCAACATTAATACTACTACCACTACTACTATCATTTTCACACATCATATGCCTATACAAATGTAGTTAATATAAGAGTACTATTTTTTGACTTCGAGGGACTGTTTGATTTTTGACTTTCTGATTATTACTATTGCTTCTTTCATTTAGGACATAAAAATTACTACTACTTTATAATTTTTTTTGAAGTAGTATTTGAATTTAAGTTGAAAAATGATCTTTAAAATTTAAAATTATATTTCGACATGCATTTTACTTGGAAAAAAAGTTGCAGTTCTATGAGTGGGAAAAAAAAATTCTAAACTTTTGGAAAAGTGGTTTTGTTGAAAAACTCATTTTCGGAAATTTTTCAAAAACTTGCAAAATTTCACGGACAAACACATTTTTTGAAAAGAAAAAAGAAAAAATTATGAGCAAACGGAGCCTTAGACGACACATTTCGCTTATCGAGAGCCAACAACAACAACAACGACCCAGTTAAATCCCACAAGTGGGGTATGGGGAGGATAGTGTGTACGCAGACCTTACTCTACCTCGAGGGGGTAGAGAGGCTGTTTCCGATAGACCATCGGCTCAAGAAGACGAAAAAATATAATATATCAGTACCATCAACAAAAAACCATAGAAATAATAACAACATCACAAGAACCAGTAAAGATGGAAAGCAGAAATAATAACTAGTAAATTAGGCCCGACACTATGAAACAGAAGAGTTGTGTAAACAAAATATTGGCCACTAGTAGTCTAAGACTAAATCCTATCAGCCTGCCTCACACTAATAGACTAAATATGTTCAACTACCGCCTAACCTACAACCTTAATGCTCGACCTCCACAGTTTCTTATCGAGTGTCTTGTCCTCGGAGATCTGAAGCCTCACTGTGTCCCGCCTGATCACCTCTCCCGAATACTTCTTAGGCCACTTTCTACCTCTCCTCGTACCCACCAATGCCAATCGCTCGCACCTCCTTACCGGGGCATCCATGCTTCTCCTCTATACGTGCCCGAACCATCTGAGCTTCGCTTCCCGCATCTTGTCATTAATGGGAGACACGCCTACCTTCTCTCGAATATCTTCATTCCTAATTTTTATCCATCCTAGTGTGCCCCGCGTATCGAGAGCCAAATTATATAAATTTTGAATAATATTTTTAAATATCTTTTTATCATATTAACATGGGAATAATTACAACTTAACTTACTTTTCATTCTCCTATAATTTTTGAATATCCAAAATTTTAGTTTTAAAATGAGTTGAATTAATCCAATTTAACTTTTAAAAATAATTAAATTGACTCTGAATAAGTAAAATGTATCATCTAAATTGAAATAATGAAAGTATTGTCTATTAAGCTTCTCCCACATGTTAGAATTTAGAAGGCTTTTGCAAGAAATTCACCTCGTTCAAACCATACCCCATTTATCCTCTTTCAAATTCTCAATTATGATAAGAGTTTAAATTTTGGACACGCACAGTGCACATATTTTATACGGGTAAGTAATTATTAGTAATAATAAATATGGTATAATTTTTGGAAAAAACAAACTAATGATTTATCATAATCAGTTAATTTAATAGTGTAATTATTTTTTACAACTACATTCTTCTATTTATCATTTAGAATTTCTTCTTTTCCCTCTTTTCTCTTCTTAATTGTCCTTCAATTTAATATTTAGTAGAGCACCATTTTAGGCCATTTTTATTGTTTCTATACATGGGTATTGTTCCTTAACGAGTATATTAATATTTTAGTTGTTTGATTGTTTGACTGTGTAGTTGGAGTCAATCCACTTGGCTTCTTTTCCCGAAAAAGAGAAAAAATGCATTATGGAATGTGTTATATGAATGTTAATAATTCCACCCAAGGGTCAAAATTAAATTACATATAACATAATCATGATTAACTTTGAGCTTCTTATAATTATTTATAGTCCCACTTTTCTCAAAATTTTCTTTTAAAATTTTGAAGTAAGTAGTAGTTTTTTTTTTTTTTTTTTTTTTAGGAATTGAGTAATAATTTACCGATCGATCGCAAGTTTGCATAAGGTATAATATGTAATTGCACCTTAAAAACTTACGCCAAACAATCAAGGACAAAATATAAAATTGGTTAGTTAGTTAAAACTAATTGCATTTGATGTTAAGTCTTCTTTTAGACCTAAAAACTACCGTTAAAATACAATTTTTCTAACTTCAAAAGTATTAGTAGGTACAATCAAATACTTAGTGAATAAAATCACCTAGGTTGAATACAACTAATGATTGTGTTAGAGGAAAAGAACAGGTTGGATCTAATCAAATATCCACTATATTTTGTCCAAATCCTTTCATCTTTAATCTCTTTTTTTTTTTTCTTTTTTTCTTTGTCAGATTAACACCACATACTTCCACCAAAATCATTTGCTACCCTCTCTAAAAAAAGTTAATGACTTTTAATTGGTTCAGAGCAATATACCATCAGGGACGGAGCTAGCATACGACTTACGGGTTCGGTCGAATTCAATACTTTAAGTTTGAACTTTGAACCCTGTTTTTATTTTTAAAAATTTATTGAATATTACAAATTATTAGTTTAGAACTCGATAAAGTAAAAAGATTTAAATTTTCAAACTCATTAATTTCAAATTCTGGCTTCGCTTATGAATACCACGCCATAAGCAATAGGCAACCTAGCTATTTTACTAACAATTGTCAGAAAATCACCAAAAAATCTGCAGATTCTTCCTATTTTTTTCATACTTTAGGGAAAGCCAAAAAATGACAGCAAATTTGTTGGATTCAAGAATTCTTGATAACCAATAGTACTGTACTGAAAATATTACTTAATACTAAAAATAGAGCTAAATGGGTTGTTATTATAGAGATCTGGGGTTTAAATTATATTAATATGGAAGTGTTTTAGATTCTTAAAGTACAAAATAATTAAGTTTTTTTTGGAATATTTTTTTTTTCTTGTTTAGAGTAAGAAAAGTCAGTGAGTCAGCTTTTTTTTAGCTAAAAAAATGAGTAAAGTAAACTGTGGGATCTGACTTTATCCTGCAAATTCTTTCAGGTTTGTAGCTTGCTTCTGTCAGTTTGTTGTTTTAAAAAATTTTAAAAGAAAAACATAAAAGTGAAAAGCAAAAAAAAAAAAAAAAAGGAATAGGAATTTAATGAAGTATATTTGATGAATTTTTTGCAGGCTTTTGTTACTTTTTTGCTAGTCCCTTCACAACAAAGGCTTCTTTTGTTTCCACCACTCGCGCGTATTTGTCTGTTTAACTTTCTTTTGAAAAACTTTGCCCATTTTGACCAATATATATTTTTCCACAAAGTCCCTCTAGCTTCTTCTTATCTAA